TGACCTGACCCAAAACCAAGAGTCCAATGCTGAACTGACTGAGCCACCCAGGCACCCCTAATTTGGGCTTATTTTTTTAAGGTTTTATTTATTTATTTATTTGACAGAGAGAGAGAGAGCACAAGCAGGGGGGCAGCAGAGGGAGAGGGAGAAGCAGACTCCCCACTGAACAGGGAGCTCGACTGCAGCCTTGTGAGTGACCTCAAGTCAGAGGTTCCCAAATAATATGCTCCTGGGCTCCTGACCCACAAAAACTCTGAGATAATAAATGCTTGTTTTAAGGAACAAAGCCTTGGGGTAAATTGTTATACAGCAATAGATAATTTCTTTCTTTTCTTCTTTAAAGATTTTATTTATTTATTTATTTGACAGAAAGAGAGTTAGCGAGAGCAGGAACACAAGCAGGGGGAGTGGGAGAGGGAGAAGCAGGCTCCCCGCTGAGCAGGGAGCCTGATGCGGGGCTTGATCCCAGGACCCCGGGATCATGACCTGAGCCGAAGGCAGACGCCTAACTGACTGAGCCACCCAGGCGCCCGTAATGTGGGCTTCTTTGAACTGATGCTTCCCGAGGCAAGTGTTTGAGATTTGCTCTGACCCCAGGAGGGCTCCTTCCAGCACTCTCTTTCCTGCAAACCAGCCCACCTGCAGTTTGCCTGTGTCTGCAATGCACGTATCCATTTCTCCCCCTGGCCTTTCACCACACCCTCTGCTGACTGGACGGGGCCCTCGGCTTGAATTCTCCATGCTCTGTGCAAATAGGGCCGGTCCTTTGGGAAGAGATTGGGAATCACCTACCTTACAGCCTGTTGCTCCTCCAGGGCAGAGTCTCTGAGCCACGGCTCTGGAACTGGGAATGGGGACAGAGGTGTGCCGCCTTGTTCAGGAGCTGAGTGTGCCATGCCGCAGGGTGGACAGGAGCCTCAGGTCCTCTTTAGCATGCCTCTCCAGGTGTGGAGTGCCTGCCTCGTGAGTCAGAGGAAGGGGCCATCCTCCTTTCCCCCAGTTGTCCCAGTGGAGAACCTCTGCCGTGAGTGAGGGCCGGGTAGAAGAAGGAAGCCCCCGCATCCTGTTGAACTTTCTGGAGTTCAGCTTCAGCAATAGGTACCGGGTGGGGGGGGGTAGGGGATGGGGAATGGTGACAATCTGCTCTTGCCAGGAAGATAGCCCTCCAACTGAGGGTCAGGGAGAGGGGGAGAGGTACTGTGTGTTCTGTAAGCACTGCCTGGAGTGGAGTTTCTGTCTTCCTGGGCTGGGGGTAGCAGGCAGAGGGAGAAGCAGGCTTCCCGCTGAGCAGGGAGACCTACGTGGGACTCGATTCCAGGACCCTGGGATCATGACCTGAGCCGAAGGCAGATGCTTAACCAACGGAGCCCCCCAGGTGCCCCCTAGACTTTTTGAATATGTGTTCTTTGACTTCCTGTATGCCTGAAAGACCATTTCCAGAGAGTTTAAATGGCTGCTTTTGATAATTATTATCGTTTTTGCTGGGGAATGGGTTTTGGAGCTTTTCACACCATCCTGCCAAAAGTCTGGCCATCTGTTTTCAAAAGCATCTACTTACATCCACTCCGTGCTGGTTTGACACCTACACCCAAAATGACTGTGACCTTAAACGCTCATTGTTTCTGAGGCTGTTTTAAACATCTGGTTCCCTAATGCCCCTGCTCCCCTCCCACTATTGTACCTGTTTATAGTTTAATGTTCTTGCTTATAAAAGCATATTTGAGTAATTAAGTGACATCACATGAGGGCAAGTACCGATGTTTTGGTGAGACTCTATCTAGGAAATCCCTCCAACAAATTGTTTACAGAGAAACCGGGGAGTCGCCTCACGTACACACATCCACACAATGTATTGTGAAAAGCTGGTCCCCACTGGCATGTGCTTTGTCATAGATCATCTGGGTTTTGATCTGTGGTTCAAGAGATCCAGAGCAATACTAGGAAAATGGTCACTGTTTTGATGATTCATCACTGGGGTCTTCCCTGCCCATGGGAGACTTAGGAAGACCAGTCTGCTTTGATGCCCATGGGGGTTCTGTTGATTCCTGGCGCGTTAGGTCGTCCATGTGCCCTTTGCTCCTGCAGGGTCCCACCTGAGTGCCTGCTGCCTGGTGTGGGAGCATGTCACCCGATCTCCACACTATCCCATTTCACTTTCGTAAAATAAGGACCGGCGTAGCCGCATCGAGATCCTTGGGGAAGAAACAGGGCATCGGTACTCAGGGCTTCACAATGGAACCCATGTGCCCAGTGCTCTCGGCTTCCCCCTCTGTGGGCAGGGTCCCCTCGCAGACCCTGAAGAGGTGACGAGGAAGCTTCTGGCTCAGTCAGGTGCTCGCACAGTTGTCTGCCTCCCGCCCTCCTCTCTCGCTCAGTGTACTCTGGCGTCTGGCTCTTAAAACATGTGCGAGAATGTGTGTTACCTGCTAGCACACTGCTTGTTCTTGCTTTAACACTGGTTACATATTTAACACTCAGTGTATGTGGACCAAACTGCATCACAAACAGCGGTCCAACAAACGTTGCAAGCACCTTCGCCACACATAACGCTCTTTATTTATCTTTCTGTGCGTGTGATGCAGACACGACGTTGAGCCGTGTCAGACCAATGACCGTGTATACAAACGAAGGACCTTTGGCTGCTTTGAGAGCTTTCAGGGTGGAAAGTGCACGAATCAGATAAATCCCCCATGGAACTTAGATCACTAACATAAATGTGTAGGTTATAGGCAGAAAGGAGAAAGTAAAGCTAACGAAATTAGATTCTTGCGTCGTAAATGAAATCGCTAATCTACAAAGATTCTCCTAGTAACTGAAGATGACCTGCTTTTGCAAGTTTCTGTCCAGGAGTCTTGTTGACTACTCCAGAGAGATCCTGAGACACATGCCAGCCTGTCTCAGGAACATTTTCTTGTGGGGTGTTTTTCTTTCCTTAAAGAGTTTCATAATTCAAATCATCTAGAGTAAAACTAGAAGTGGCCTAGTTCCAATGAAACTTCATCTCGAAAGAATTTTAAATAGTAATATGTTATATGTTCATAGTGCGAATTTATTAGATAGTGATTGGAATTTAGCATGAGTTTTTCAAAATGCATTAGCAAAGTATGCCCACGGGGCTGCAGTTTGTGTTAATGGTGCACATGGGCCCTCACGTGCGTAGAAGAGTGAGGTCATCCGTGCATACTGTCCCCTCCCACCTTTGTGCTTTATGTCGTTCTGATCCTCATTCTCATTGGTTCATCTGCTTTCATCTGTGTTTCCCGAAGAAATGTGAGGTTCTTCACACCAAAGCAAAGTGTTCTTCCATTTGGATGGTATCCTGTGCAGAAACTAAATTGGACTGGGTATCTGTTTACTTACTTGCTCAGTGCCAGACGTGGTCCCTGGTGGTTTCCAAGGAAATCATTCAGTCGCCTAGCATCCTTATCAGACAGACGTGACTCCTGGGTCCCATATCTGGTACGTGGAGGGAGGGAATGCATTCCAACCCGGCCAGCCATCTGGGCCCACCGTCAGCAGCACACACACTGTCAGACGTGAGGACCACCAGACCAGAAACACGCTCCATGCTCCTCTGTGTCCCCAGGATGCAACTTCACCTGCAGACAGGACCCACGGCTCGGTGGACCCACGTGCCTGCAGCCTTCCGGACCTCAGTGTCTTCCCCACCTGAGACGTGGAAACACACCCCCACGTGGGAGGCCGTGGTGAAGACGGGGTTGGATGGGCTGGGTTAGTGGGCAGCACAGGGTGGGTCCCCTGCTCCTGAGCAGAGGAGCAGCCAAGATGCACACCTCCTTCAGAAATCCTTCCAGGCAGCTCAGGAGAAGCACCAGGATGCTTCTCTGCCTGTTTTCATCCACATTTTATCAACGTCCTTCACAACCTCTCAGCCATGAGTGGATTCGAGACCATCAGCCCCGAATGACGGGAGAGGTTGGGGCCACGCTCACATCTGGGGGAAATTTGAAATCGGGGCAGGAGCAGGAAGTCAGAACCTGGACTAGGATCTCGGGGTGCTTCGAGTCAATGAGCAAAGTCACATTATCTTGGGCTTCCTTTTGCACCAGATACATTCCCCTGCAAAATGATTGGACCATCAGCGTGTGAAATGTTTAAGTAAATGAAGGTGCTTTATAAAGGTCTGGGTGTGCGATCTGTTCTTTCCATTCATTCGTTCATTCAACTCACTGTTATTAGTTCTAGGTACTTAGGATAGATATAGTAATGAGCAAAATCGACACAAACTGCTATCATCATGATGTGTTCATGTCTTTGTTTTTATTCTCATGGATCTTTATTGAGATGCTCTTACGTGCTCACACCACGCTAGGTGCCTGGGATAGGTGGTAGAATAACACAGTTTTTGGAAGCCCCATAAATTCTTGCAGGTGACTCTTTGAGATCGCGCTGCGGTGTGGCTGTCACCTCATGCGTGGTTGCCTGGTCACTGGGGGAGCTACTGTCCACAGCTCCACAGTGTGGGGGACGCACCTCCCAGACCAGCTTCCCCTGTGGTCACTGCACCTGCTGGGTCAGGGTACAGGTGGGAGAATTGCTTTATGTGATGAAGAAGCGAACGCCTGGCTCATTACTTCTGCACTCCCTGTCACCTCTCCCCTGCACACTTAATCATCATGGACCTGGGGGCCACCGTGCTTCTCAGGGTCGGTCCCCAGCCCAGCTCCTGCTTCTCGAACTCAGCATGTTGCTTTCGGTTCGCATTCAGCTTCCCTCTTTTACTGAATAGGGATTGATGCCAGGATTTGCTGATTTTGTGTTTAAAGATAAATCCGTGTCTGTGTCAATGGATTACAGAAAACTGCACAACTGAGTTACAGTCGACTTCTGAGTATTATATTTTTGAAAATCCAGACTCTCCCATCGATTTGGAATAATTACTTTCCTTTACTGTATCCCTATGGAAGTGGACTTAGAATTTACCCCTCTTAGGTCCAAATAGTTGTAACCGTATTTTAATTTCATTTGACTTCCAGGTTTGGTGATGGTTATTCATTGAAGATTTGGCTCCATCAGGAAACAAATCTGCACAGTGTGATTTCTGACTGCTTGAAGCTCCATTTTCCAGGGATCCAGTTTAAGGTAGTGCTAAAATTCTGCATTCCTTCTTTGTTTTCAGCTGAGAAAGTGGATAAGTGCGTTTGTCTTTTTCCCTGTTTTAGTTCTGCACTGTTAGGACACACTGCCTACTGTCTGGGCCTGATTGCAAAGCTCCCCGCCCATGGCCAGTGAATATCGCTTGGCCACCGTGCAGGACGACAAGCCTGTCTGACCGCTTTGTCGGGTGTCCCAGAGTGGACCGTGGTTACTTACCCCCCATTACCCGTGGGCACAGCCCCCTTGCGTGGCTTGTTTTGTTCAGGAAGGAAGATTGTGTTGGCTGTGGGGCTTCTAGACTTGCTGGTTGCAGCATTATTTTACGAGGAGTGCCCTGTGCTTGCGATCCTAATCCTCTGCTAACTTGAGGCAAAGTGTGATGCCTGGACTAGCAGGGTCTCCATCCCTGGGCAGCTGGTTCGACCTACAGGATCTCAAGTGCCAACCTACTGAATCCAAATCTGCATTTAAGGGGATGACCAGGCGACTCCTACGCCCATTAACATTTTAGAAGCACCATCAACAGAGTCTTGGATAACTACGCGATTCTAGTTTATCATAAAAAGGGTCTCATCTATAAAGTAGCTGTCACCTGTCTATTTCAACAAGCGCCACTGAGTAAAACTCCACTGGTAAGAAGCGTGCCGTACCAGACCAGGCATTCATGCTCAGATACTCCTCCAGATGCCCGGTAACACACTTGCTGTTATACCCCTTTGCACAAATGAAAACGAGGGGCAGAATATTTCCTCTCTTACCAAGAGTTGCTCGCTAGCTCATGGTGAGAACAATAGGGAGCTCTGCTCAAGACCCAGTGAAGTGCGGGCGCCTCCGTGCATCTCCTTCCTCCACGATAAATTCCTCCTTCTGGGTAGGGTGAGGCACCTTCTTGCCCCCGGGGAGGGCTTCCCCATGCTGTGGCAGGGCGAGGGGGCGTATGCGGGGCAAAACAGCCGCTGAGCCTTGAGGACGACCACGTACCAGATACGCTGTCGTCTGTCTGCGTGCACGGGAGACTCTCGGAGCTGATCCGCCCTCCCGCTGCCGTTGAGGTGTGTGGTTTGAAAGAAGATTATCAGTTAAGTGCAGCGTGATCAGTTTTAACGATTGCTCATCATGTGATCCAATTTACAATTTGTTTTTGGCTTTTAGGGGCAGCGCCTTAATTTATTGGAATATCATGTGCCAAAACGATGGGAATGCTTAGCCGACCTGTTCCGAGTCTTAGAGAACAACAAGACCTTCCTGAATATCAAACATTACTCCATTAACCAAACCACTTTGGAACAGGTATGGTACCTTGCACGCTTCAGCCGATTGCATTTTGGTAGGGGCTCGAGGCTTCCCCCAGCCGATCTTAAAACTAGTCAGATTACTTCTTGAGGTCGTCCTTTCTTTAAATTAATCGCTGGTTTTACCAAATAGGATGGTGAGTGTTAGGAGGTTTGTTTCTTGTCAGCTCTCCACTAAAGATATGTATTTGGTAGGGCTCCCGTTTGTCCAGAATTACATTGGGCATTCGCTGGGCAAGTCATGCCCCATTAACCTTCCCTTCTTCGTTTTGCTCACCCCCCAAAATGTCTAAGGGGACTCCACCATAGCTGAGCTATAACTGACTTTGGGAAGCCAAGTGTACTGAGTGCCAGAATGTAGAATTAAATCCCACCTTCATTCTAAAGCCACGCTCAAAGCGTCCCGAATTTCCCAGTGGTTTAGTAATCATCCCCACATTGAGCTGTGTCCTCAAAGGATTTATCTGTTTATGGCAGTTTCCGAGGGGGGTGGTATGGATGAAAGCTTTGTGGTTTTTTAGGAAAAGTCAGGCAGTGCTTTGAAGAGATGTCCCTTCTTATAATAATTGAGAAGAGAAGGTCTGGTGTCCTCACAGGTTAACAATGATTTTCATCGTTTCGTTCAGGTATTTATTAATTTCGCTACTGAGCAACAGAAATCCTCACAATCTACTGTGGCTACACCTACTGGCTCTCACCAGCCGCCTCACCTGCTTATCTAAGCACCGAAGGGGACGTTTCTAAGAGGAATAATACCCTGTCTTTTGTTACCATTCATCCTTAAAGATCAAAGGAGCCCGCTCGCCTTAGAGGAGCTGGGAGTCAGGCTCCTGGTGGCCAGATCCATCCTCTCTTCCTTTCCTCTTTGAAGCTGTTGGTTAACTCATAACCAGCAAACTGGAAGATTGTTTTCTGTAGACTTTCAGGGAGTTCCTCCCACGTGGCTAATCCCTTTGTCAAGCCAAGGAGGGGCCAGCTTCTTCGTGACGAGTGAACCCAGAGTCCAACCTGAGACATTTTGGAGCTGTCAGAGACTGGCCATTCCTGAACATTTCACTGTACTTTTAAGGAAACTGAGGCAGCCAAGGCTAGTAACTTTCCTGACTGGTTTGTTTAGGAAATAGTACCTCGGACTGTTTGCTGTTTCTGTCCCCTTTCATCACTAGATAGGCTTACATGTGTTTACATAAAAGATCGAAGATTTAAACACGTGTTTTTTTGTAATACTGGATATTATATGGGATGACATGTAAAAATTGCCACTTTTCTCACACAAAAGATGTTTCTTAGGAAAATCAGAATTAAGGAGCTTTTTAGAGAACGCTTTAGCAAAATCAAGTAAATTGAACTGGGTACTCTGTGTCATTTATAAAAGTTTTGCCAGACTTCCACAGATTTTAAATATATAGGCAGGGATGGAAAGAAATAGAATGTGGATGTATTTTATTTTTTCTTAATCTCTCAGTTTTCTTAATGCCTCCTGGTATTCTGAGGTGCATTCTAGTTTTAAAGCCGGTGACGTAAACTATCTAGTTACTTCAAATTTTACCAGCAAAATCAGTACCTACTTTTAAATGCTTTAAAATTTTCTAACAATTCTGCCATTCTCAGAATTACTGTGCTAGTATTTTCAGATATAAAGCTCCATGATGTGGCTCCAAAGGGCTGTAGACACTTGACATTCTGCATCTGATAGCAAAATGTGTAAAGTCCTTTTGTCCACCACTGAAAATAGTTTCTAGCCAGACATTTCTGAGCTTCAAGATATTTCTTAATCTTCACTGAGTAACATTTTTCTCAAATCTCAATGGAGGGCTGCGTTAATTTTATTTTAAAATTTGACCTTGTCCACTTAAATTTTTGAGTGATAGTAGCTTGTGGCCAAAGGGAACCACTTTCCCATCACATTTCTTTACTAATGCAGGATTTCGCTAAAATCTGTCTTTCCTGATATCATTCGTACATACTGGAGATATTTTTAACTTGTCAGGATTCAGCCAGTCATGGAGAGTTTTGCTGAATGATTTTGATTCACATGAATCCCATGAATTATGCTTTCTTTAAGTTTAGGGTTTAGGATTTCTTACAGTTTAGGGTTTTTTACAGTATAGGGTTTATGATCTCCCCCTCAGTTCTGACAGTCTCACTGTCAAAATGGAAGATGTAATCCTTTATGATGATTGTTGTTGAATCAATCCATAAAATCTGTGACACAGGAATGTGTTTATACTGCGGTGAATAAATGAGATGTGCTTTGATTGAACCTGATTCTTGGAATGAACTTGTGTATTTTCTTGCATCATTAGGGATCCCGTTTAACCGAGCTAGGGAAGAAATGTACCTATTCAAGATCTTTTAAAGCTTGAAAAGGTTACAGTTTGATTGAGCTTCAGTCTGTGATGTTCTGCTCGTAGGGATTCTTCTCCACCCTTTGAGCCGCTGTATTCTTGAAGGCTGCGTTTCCAGGTAAGCCTTTGAACAATAAACAGGAAGAAAAAAGAAACTCACTATGTGAAAACGCCATACCCCAGAAGACTGGATAGGAAAGGTCAAATCTTATGTTAGTGTTGAAAATGTCATTGCATTTATAAGTCATGCAGATATTTTATGCCTTTGGAGTTAAACATTTGTCTTAAGACCTTTGGGCTTATGGTCACACAACTGAGACTTTTAAACAAACTGCCTTCTTTGGAAAGCATTCCGAGTAGAGTTCTTTGTAAGGCTGAGATCATCTTGATTATTCCTGTTCCAGCAACCCAGCTTTTATTGTACGGTTTATCTTTACCAGGATATTTAAACAGAGGATGTATGAAAGCCCTCATGCAAAATCGGGATTGGAGAAAGCAAACAATAAGTGTATTTTTAGAGCAGTAAACAGTGGGGGACTTAAGGTTATAGTTGGCTTGGGTTAGTTGATGTTGAATGTTGAACCGAGAAAAAGAGCAGCATGATCGCTCTAAAACCTTCCATGAAATATACACCCTCCCCACCCTCCCCCTCAATTTGGTGTTCATGAATATGACATGAATACTTTAGCTTAATCACAAATTTCCACACACCCCTACCCCCTCAAATGGGGGATAGACGTTTAAAATTTTTAGACCGATTTGGGCATGTTTTCATGTTTGGCTTTGCTGTGGTGTGTTGGAGTATTTCAGGTCTGTGATGATTTGGGTATGGTATGCTGATGACCTTACAACCCAGTTTGGCATCCTCGAGTAATTCAGAGCCCCTCACACACACACACACACACACACACACACACACACGTTCATCTTTTTCATCCATACTGTTGAGCCCATTCTATGTGCATAAATAGATGGTCAGTATGGTAAACATGGGGGTGGGAGACTAACAGGTGAAGGACCCCCAGTCTGTTCCTTGAGAAGCATGCAGTTAGGCGGGGAAGGCGAGGTGGGATCTGCAGGCAACAAGCACTCCCTGCTCTGGGGCCATGCAGTGGGTCCTTCTAACCCAGGGTGCAGGAACCAGCTTCATGGAATAGTTACCACCTGGGAGGGCCATCACAGATGGAGAAGTGGGAACAAAGGGAATATCAGAGCAAATCGACAATTTTCCATGGGCAATGGATATTTGCCTGCTATTCTGATAGAAGCTGATACAGCAGCTCCACAGACATCAAAAACCCAGCTCTGCCATTTTTAGACTCTCCCTCTTATGCCAAAGTGGCTGCTGGAGCACCAGCTCTCACAATATTTGAAGCAGAAAACAAACCAGATTAAGGGGGGAAGAAAGCACACCATTTAAAGAGGCCTCCTGGCAGTCTACCCCACATACTCAGGCGTATAGGACATTGTCATGCAGTTTTAGCTGAGTCCCTAGAATGAAACGAGAGTTCTGATTCTGTATAAGAACAAAATGGGTGCTGGATAGACAGCCAGCAAGCTCTACTGTAGGAACACAGAACCAGGTGTGTGCCATTTGCATGAGAATGGAATAAAATCACTTTGGGGCATGTTGAGTAAACCAACTAATAGCAAATGATGACTATCTTTGGGCATTCCGTGTTCTGAAGATTTCTATTTTCAGAGTTAAAGTAGCATGGTAAGATATACAGGTCAGATGCCATCTGTGTTTATAAAGATATTGTCAAGTGGAATGCAGTAGCTAAGGGGGAGAAAGAAGTTTATGGATATTTTCCATTTGGACTTAATAAATAGCCCTGTCACTTACTCACATTGGGAATTCCTATAAGTGTTTTAATAGATAACTTTTTTCCCTCTGGAAAGGGTTTCAAATTGCTGGAAGAAGTCAGAAGCATTTTTTCTTACTTCTTGCTTTTGCTTGTCATTGCAAAAGAAACACTTCACCATGTTATCAGTGAATCCATCACATTTTTCTTTACATGTGAGTGTTTTAAGGAAAAATGGGGTCTACTGACTGAAATGTACATCTCAAACCTAGCAAAATTCGTCGCTTAAAAGATACATCTAGAAATGTCAGGAGCACAGCTTTCTTTTAAATAGAAGGGAATGTTGTGAACACCATGTTTGTGGTGGCATTTACATCTCATGCGTGTGGTTTGTCTTGCTGAATTTCACCCATTACCAAATTGTGGTGGTATATTATCTGGTTCGTGGTTTTGTCCTTGAGAAACCGGGAACGAGGCTTCAGATCAACCTTCATGGGGCGTCATGGTGGTGATGAGTCCTTGGGTACCGTACTTGTCCCCACTTGCACACTGGGGCGTGCTCTGCTCAAATGTAGTCATGGGAAGACTTCTTTCGCCCCAGCATGAATTTAATTGAATTAGGATTACAGACAAGGGCAAAACAGCAGTCCAGGAGAAGTCCACTGGCTGGGCATCAGGAGACCTGGCTTGACTTCCAGCTTGAGTGGGATCTTTTCCACTGAAACCCTGAGCTTCTGTTTTCTTCACTTTTACAATCAGGATGAGATCTCTATATAGCCTAGTGAAATAAGCAAACCTCCACAGGGAGTGCATGAATATACAACATTAGCAAAGAAAGCGGAGCAGATCTACCGATAGAAATGGGGTGTAGGAGAATAATATGAAAAACTTTATGCAGATTATTTCAAGACAGATGAAATAGACGAGATTTTTCGGAAACCATTAATGATCGAGATTATGTCAAGAAAAGCAGGCGGGCTGATTCGCTGCGTGAGGTGCTTCCTTGGGGTGCTTGAGCCCACTAGGAATGGCAGCCCCGTCTATGAAAGAAAGACAGGCTTGCTGGGGAGCCTGGGATGAATACTGGAAGTGTTTAGATGAGAACACAGAGGACGCTTCTCAGTGCAAGAAGTTAAGAAGCTCATTTGAATCCAGTTGTCCCCAACAGTGGATAAAATATTTTGATAAAAGAAGAGACTACTTAAAGTTCAAAGAAAAATTTGAAGCAGGACAATTCCAGCCTTCAAAAACAACTGCAAAGTCCTAGGCTGCTCCTGAACTTCTCAGAAGGTTTGAATCATGGTAAATAGTGTGACTTGGTCCACATTAACAATTCTTTAAAATGATCAAGTAACAGAGATTCCATCATTCAAACTATGAAGAATCAAAATGGTATGAAAGATGCTTAGTTTTAATTTAGTAAGGAAGCTATATTTTAAGGAAAATTAAAGCCTATTATATATATATAAAAGCAGATTATGTCAAGAAAACAACTAGCCACACGAGAAAATGAATTGGTAGCCATGGGTCATCACCCTACCTTTAACTTAGCCCAAGACAGGGGACCCAGATGGCTTTATGAGTCATAGAGATAAACTATGTTATACAACTACTTTAGGAAATAAGGAAAGAATTCCTATCAATCTCATTTTAAGGCTAATATAGCCTTGGCACAGAAAGTTCTCCAAGAACAGAGGTAAAGCAAGTATAGGGCAACTTCATGTACAAACACAGATACAGAAATATTGATAAATGGACCTCAGTAGTGTGTAGAATATGGCTCATAATCCGTATGATTTATCTAAGGATTGCAATGGTGGGTCAAAATGAGAAACTTGGGCGTGTGGGTGGCTCAGTTGGTTAAGTGTCTACCTTTGGCTCAGGTCATGATCCCAGGGTCCTGGGATCGAGCCCCGCATCGGGCTCCCAGCTCAGTGGGGAGTCAGCCTCTCCCTCTGCCGCTCCCCCTGCTTGTGCTCTCTCTCTCTGTCAAATAAAGAAAAATCTTTCTAAAAAATGAGAAACTTAATGCAACCCACTGCGTTCAAAGGTAAGAATGTGAATTGTCTGAGATGCAGACAAAATATTTCCTGAAATATATAAAATATATTAGAAAACTAACATGTTAAAATTAACATTGCAAGTGAATTTCCACAATCTGATCAAATATATCTAATCCTATGTATGAAATGGTACAAGCTGACCTGTGTTGTTCTGTGTAAATACACGATTCCTCTCTCGGGGACTTTGCCCTACTGAGCTTTTCTCTCTTCTTTCTCTCTCTTGGCACTGGGTCCTCTTCTTCAGCATTGAAGAGGCCCTGTCTGTCTCATTTTATGAACTAGCCTGTCAGTGGCTCCAGTCCCCCAGGAGCCCCTCTTCCTGGCCCGCGGGCCAGACTCTCCGCAGCCCTTGTAGCCCCGCGGACCCGCATGGCTCCCACCTACCGCACTCGGGACACGGCTCGTTAGTGCCACCAGAACAGCCCTGGCCGAGACGGCAAGGGCCTCCACGTAGTTAGGGATGGACTGACATCGGTTGCTGGTTTCCCCACCTGGTCGTTCACCGTCCTCTGAAAGGCTCCGTGACATCCCACTGGACCGCGGTCCTGCTATGGTGCTCCCACCGGACCACGTGCCCCATCGAGTCCTGCTGGCCAACCACCTGCTTTCTGCATTTCTGGTGGCTGATAGGATGAATACTCACTGCTGTCAGAATACAGCAGAGCATCGGCAGTGATGCCCGGATGCCCCGACTCGCTACCCTGCACACACTTCTCCCCCCAGCTGCTTGAAGTGCCTTAGCCTTTGCATGCTTGAAATGAATCCCCTGCTGCCGCGGATGTGTACGTGGGAGTCCCTCTGTGGGGCTAACCTGTCCCCTCCACGGGTCAGCCTGAGTGTGGTCCTTTCTGGATGCTTCTCTGCACACTGCCCAGGTCCCTTCCTCCATGATCCCTGTCACTGCAACTGTGTACGTCGTCTTCCCAACAAGCGCCGTGGGGACAGTGTCACTTGTGAGCAATTACTTGACTAAGCTCATCTGCCCCACTAAACTGTGATTGCCACTGGGCCAGTGGCGTGGCGTGTGTCTGTGTGCGTGTGTGTTTCCTTTC